GACCTGCCCTGCGCACTCCCTAAGTCCAGGGGACCTGCCCCCGACCACCCCCTAACCCCCGGGGACCTGCCTTGTATGCCCTCTAACCCGCTGGGACCTGCTCTGTGTGCTCCCTAGACCCCCGGGAACCTACTCTGTACTCCCCCTTAACCCCCGGGGACCTGCCCTGTGTGCCCTACTCCCTGATACCATCCACAGGGCAATGCCGCCCTGTCCTCCAGTTTCCTGAAGGCTTTTCAGGTTTGCCTGCCCAAGGGAAAACGCAGACAGGGTTCAGAGAGCTGAGAGGTGGAGTGATGTTCCTGGTTTGGGGGGATCAGGCTCAGACTGCCTGCCAGCTGCTTAAGGCTCAGCATCTGTGGCCTGTGGCCCTTGGAACCAGGTCCTTCAGAGCTGCCTTTTTGTAAATCCAGCTCCACTTGGGTAGAGCCGACTCTCCTGGTCCGGCTCCCAGTCCCCTCCGCCCCAGGTGTGCATGGTCAAGGGTCTCGTGGTGGTTGGGGTCCTGATGGAGCCACATGTCAGTGCACAGTATCCAGTTCCTTGGGCAGATCTAAGCTCGTCTGTGTCCTGTGTCCCCAGAACATGCTGTTTGAGAGCATCCAGGAGGGCAAGTATGAGTTCCCTGACAAGGACTGGGCCCACATCTCCTGCGCTGCCAAAGACCTCATCTCCAAGCTGCTCGTCCGTGACGCCAAGCAGAGACTGAGCGCTGCCCAAGTCCTGCAGCACCCCTGGGTTCAGGGGGTGAGTGCCAGCCCCAGGGGCGCCAGGGAGGGTATGGGAGGCTGCAGGGTGGCCTCAGAGCAAGCACGGGAAGCCCCGAGGGTGTAGCCTGGCACTCTGAGATGCATTGAGGTCTGAGCACAGGCTCTGCCCTGGGATGAGAGTTGCAGCGGAAATCCCCGCCACCCACCTATGCGCGGTGTCCGCTGGCCAGGCAGGCAGCTCCCAGAAGCAGCTACTCAGAGAACCTTCCTGGAGGGTGGTGGGGACCTACACTCCGCAGCAAGCTGCAGTCAAGCGGACGGCGAGTCCAGCTCACGGAGACCCCAGCCTGTCGTCAGTTTCAGGCCCAGGCTCTGCCCCCACCCTTCCCTGTGTGGCCTCCGATCCAGGCGAAGTCGGGTGTTTCTCGTGCCAGAGGTCATCTGAGCCGAGCTACCACCCCAGGGAGTGGGGATTTACTAAAAATAGAACCTGGGGTCACTCTGTGTCCCCAGGCGAGGGGCTGGGGGCCTCCAAACTCCTTCCAGAAGCATCCAGAGACCCGTGGGTTAAGAGGGGGGTGGAGGTGGGTTTGGGCTGGGAACAGCCGGGAGAGGTAGGGCTTGGGGCTCTGCTCTCCACCCTCACTGGGTCCTGCAACACCAGGCCTCAGCCTGGCCCAGCCTCGGGTTCCCTGGGCAGGTGGACATGGAGCCTCGCCATAGAGATCTCGGGACAGGGACTTGGCTCCCGGGGCACCCAGGTGCACTTCTGGTCTCTCGTGGGGTCCTAGTGATGGGATGGGCACGGCATCCCTTGGCCAGACACCCAACCCTGCACCCCAGGCGGCCCCAGCTGCTCTCCAGCCCTGCCCTCTGCCCGCTTTCGTTGCAGTGCGCCCCGGAGAACACCTTGCCCACTCCGATGGTCCTGCAGAGGTGAGGCCTGCAGGGGTGCTCGGGACCCCCAAGTCCAGGGGGCGGGGTTTCCAGGCTAAGACACTTGGGAAAGACCTGGAGAGCTGCTTTGGGGTCAGGGATGCAGGCAAGCCTGGTAACTCAGTGGAGATCCCGGTGGGGCCCTGGCACTCAGAGGAGCCCCAGGGTCGGGGTGGGAGGAGGGCATGAAGCCCCTTCCCCCAGGGCCTTGCACAGACCCCAGCGGTCCCGTAAGGGATGCCTCCTTGGTGACCACCTACACCCACCCCATTTCCCAGGAACAGCTGTGCCAAAGACCTCACATCCTTCGCGGCCGAGGCCATTGCCATGAACCGGCAGCTGGCCCAGCACGACGAGGACCTGGCTGAGGAGGAGGCCGCAGGGCAGGGCCAGCCCGTCCTGGTCCGAGCTACCTCACGCTGCCTGCAGCTGTCTCCACCCTCCCAGTCCAAGCTGGCGCAGCGGCGGCAAAGGGCCAGCCTGTCCTCGGCCCCCGTGGTCCTGGTGGGAGACCGTGCCTGACCCTCCCGTCTCTCCCCTTTGTACATAGGTCGCCCATCCCCCAATCAAATCTAAAGGTTTTTTAAGCTATCGCCAGCCAGTGTCCTGCGGGCTGCCCCACCTCTGGCTGGATTCCCAGGCACTAAGCTCAGCTGGGGGGGCGTTTTATAGAAGGTTTTTGCTTTTGGGTTTTTCTTTCCCGTTTCCACCCCTCCCCCTTATTTTTTCCTTCGGACGGTTAAAAGCAATGCAGGCACCCGGGGAGGTGAGCAGAGGGTATGTGGCTGGGCTTGTCCCCTTCCCGGCCCCTAGCCCTGCTCACCTGTACTGTGAAGCCCCCAGGTCACCTGTACTGCCCGCCATCTGCCCACGTGGCTTGCAGTGACTCAGGAGAGCAGACCACAGCGTTCGCCATCTTCCAGAGCTGGGGAGGGGCCCAGGGCCCTGCCCCTGTGTTCCCTCCCAGCCCGCAGTATTTCAGGGACAGGCTCTTCCCCTCTATCCCTCACCCTGAGAGCACCCCTGGTGGCTTGGTTGGGGAGGGAGGACCTGCCTGTCTCCAGAGGGGCCAGGCAGGCAGGTGGAGGGCAGCCACCCGCCCCATGGGATCCCCCAGCCCTTTACCCGCGCCTGCCTTGTCCCCATGATAGTTGACAATCGGGGCTTCCTGCAAGGCCTGTCTGTCTACCCAGGACTCCTGGTGGCCAGATTTGGTCTCCAACCTTGACCTTAAACTGCAGCTGACCCCAGGGGCTCGCCGCTGCCCCTCTCCACCGCTCCAGGGCCTGAGACAGCAGGAGCCCCGCCCGGCCTGAGGCTGTTTCCACCGCAGCAGGCAGAGGGACTGGACAGGCACTGTCAGCCAATGTGGGGGGTCCTGAAGACACCCCCTTGGGGCAACCGAGTGCCCCTTCTCAGGGCTCAGTCTGACCGTGGCCACGTCCTGCCTCGCGCCGCCCCTTGAGCCTGGCCTGGAAGCTCTGTCAGCTCCGTCCTTGTCCTTAGAGCTGGGCCCAGACCCCAGGGTCTGGCCGAATCCCCGCCCCCAGGGCAGCGTTTTTGGTCTGCCACCTTCAGGAAAATGGCCGCGGCCTTGGCCTCCCTTCGGGCACCCAGGAATGGAGGGGCCTGCTCAGTCCCCCCACCCTCCACGCCCCAACCCCTGGGGGCTGCGGAGCCTGCCGCCCCTCCCGGCGGGTGGGGACGTTCTATGCAATACAGGGTTCCACTTTGGAAGTGTGCGGGGCTGTGCTGCGGGGGCAGCTAGGGTCACCACCCGCCCTTCCCAGCCCAGTCCCCAGACTCCACGCCTGGGGCAGCCCCCTCTGGCTTCTAAATCCGCGGTCGGGATTCCTTGTGTTTAGCTTTTTAGTTGTTTTTTTTTTTAAGGAAAAAAAAACATCGGTTGACTTTGCTTCCCTGTTCTTGAAGAATACTTGAATGTCGGGGGGTCTGGGGGTGGGGGCCTCGGAGACCGTCCGCCTGGCCCTGCTGCCCCTCCCGAATCTCGTACGATGGTCACAGTCCGGTGGCCGTGGGGGTGCTCTGCCCTCCCTGGTCCCCACTGCCCATATCTGTGGACTGCCCCTTCCAAAGACCCCTGGGGGGTGGGGCAGGCCGCCCGCCCCCCTCCCCCATCATGTCTCGCCTGTCAGTAATTCTGTGTTTTGTAACGGGGGATTCTCTGCCTTTTTGTATAAAAGAACAAGCAAACAGACCCCCGCCCGCTGCAGGCGCCCACAGCCATCGCGTCTGAGCTGCTAGCAGCTTTTTTTTTTTTTTCTGAAGGTGGGACAGTCATTTTCTCCTCCCTCCCCACCCCTGTCGCATCCATGTGCGACCTGGAGGACTGGTCAGAACCATTACTGTGAATGAGTGAAGATCCTGGAGAACCCTGGGCCCCAGGCCAGCTCCCAGCGCTGGGGGACGGTGAACGGCCATGTGTTAATGTTACGATGTTTTTAAAAGACAAAAAAAAAAAAAAAAAAAAACCTCAAAGTTTTTTTTAAGTGGGGGAAAAACATCCAAGCACTTTAATTCCATTGTACCAGGTGAACTGACGGAGCTCAGAAGTTTTCCTTTACACCAACTGTCAATGCCGGAATTTTGTATTCTGTTTTGTAAAGATTTAATAAAAGTCAAAAAACCTGCTGTGTGTGCCTGAGTTCAAGTTTTCTGTCACTGCATAAGGAGCCGCCCCCAACCTATTGTTGCAAAACCACGTTGTTGGCAGTGGTGCTGAGTCAGGAGTTTTGAGGGAGTGGCTCCTGTGGGGTCTGTCTCTGCCCCAGGATGCCTGGATGCACCGCTGGGAAGACAGCGGCCAAAAGCTGAGCCCGGCTGGGCGCGGTGGCTCATGCCTGTAATTACCCAGCACTTTGGGAGGCAGAGGCGGGCAGATCACGAGGTCAGCAGTTCTAGACCAGCCTAATCAACAGGGTGAAACCCCGTACCTACTAAAAATACAAAAATTAGCCGAGCATGATGGTGCACACCTGTAATCCCAGCTACTCAGAAGACTGAGGCAGGAGAATCGCTTGAACCCGGAAGGCAGA